TGGTGAAGGGCTGCATCCAAAGCACACAGACCCCAGGGATCAGGAGACATGTTCCAACTCCACCTCTCACTACTAACGGGACAGAGGTCAAGTCCCTTTCCTACTTTGCGATGTGGTTCTCTTAGGTGTGAAAGTTATAAGCGCACTGTAGATCATGTTAGACAATTGTGTAGACATGCTTTATAAACTGTAAGTAAGCATCATTAGCACATGCTCTGAAAATAGACAATGGGGATGGACTAGAGATGAGGACATGTCCCCTCTGCTTGAATGCAGGCCATTCTTGTGACTTGCTTGGATCAATAGAATGCAACAAAAACTGACCCTATGGCTGCTCTGAGCCAACACTTTGGAATCCATCATCTTCAAAACTCTGTACCTTCTACATGGGTGGCTCTGCAGAGGACAGTCATCATCAAGTATATCAGTACACCACTTGGTTTATGTTAATATATCAGGTTTTTCTTAGAGGTTGAAAGAAGGAAGAGAAGGGAACTACCAGCTAATAACCTATGAGGCTTCAGGGATTAGTTGGATCTACTACCTGAACTCACTTTTCCCAAATCTTTCCCCAAGTTCCGTAAACATGTGACTTCTTACAAATGCAAACTCAGATTTTTTATCTTTTCTATTTCTCCCTTTACTTATTCATATTATCCATTGAAATAGTCACCCAATATACTACAGAAAAGGAGAGAGAATATCCCTGGAAATTTTAACCAACCTGTGCTGACCCCAAAGCAGCTGGGAACATTTTGCGCCCAGTTTCCATTTGCCCTTTGCCCTGTCCAGGGTTGCCATGCATCCTGTCTGGATTACAACTTGGCTTAGCAAGGGTAAGCACCTTGGTTCAGTCATTCCTCTGCCTTAAGTAATCCTCAGACTTTCTATGAAACTGTCACTCTTCCACAATTGGCCACCCACCTTGTATTTTCCACCCATCTCAATCAACTCCTAGACATTGTCCACTGATGAAACACTAGAGCAATTATATTTGTGCCATGGAATGTTGGGATAGCTTTCAAGCTCTTGTTGCCCAGACAGGGGCAAGACAGAGCTGGTTCCCTAAGAACAGCACAAGAAGGGCAGCTGTGAGTAAAGGATGTTGCAGAGACAGAGGGTGTGTTCTTATTGTATGTAGTACATTTTAGGAAGTATAATAAAGTATCAACTTTCCCAGTAGAGGAACTATGATTTCCAAACATAAAAAAACTCTAAGTAATTAGTCACATAGTAAATGGAACCTGACACAACATTTCAGAGACATTGTAAAGACCAGATGTTTAAACTGGAAAGGGTTGGTCTTCTCCAGGAGTATAATACCTGAAAAAGACATAGAAATAAGCTATAGCAGTGGGCATCATTATACATTGCTGCACCTATCCAAAGCCATGGATCTCTTAGTGAACTTAATGCTATAAACATTTTCCCTAGAAAAATGCACATGAACATGTACATAAACTTTTGTATACAGTTTCATGGAGCTTATGAACTCAAAGCCTATCTTTGCGGTAGACTGTGGATTCCGTGATTATGGGAGTCCTTAGCCATCAGACAGGATATGAGAATTCAAATCCTAACTAACTCTGCCATTTACTTACTAGCTGTGTATGTTGGGCACACCACTTAGACCCATGTGCTTTGGTCACCCTCAACTGTGGTAAGGGGATCACAACTCTTATATTTCAAGAACTGTTGTGAAGCTTAAAGTCAAATTGAAAAGATATACTTGATAGCACATTATTTTTACACAAAAAGTGCAAAAATGATGGCTAAGAAAGCATTGTCCTAAGTCCTAAGAAAGTATTTAGTTTAGCTAAAGGAGTATAGGTAATGTTTTTATCAGTCACTTTTAACCACAGGCCATCACATCTGTAAGTAAATCAAACAGAGATATTAATACCTGGGAGAATCAGGCTTCAGGGGTCACTCCAGCAGTGACTCCCCACCACTTCTGCGGGGATGGTTATGAAGGATGGTTATGAAGAAAGGAATGGCAAGTAAGTGGCCCTACTGTCCTTCAGGTGACTTGACTGCGAGGGTGAAATGAAACAATGTTATTTATAAGCTGTACGCACAAGAAAGATGCCAAAATAACCTGATTTAAAAAAAACTGGAAAAAATGGATAAGCCTATAACTGGGATATTTCATAGGGGCTTTTGCACAATGGCAATCAGATATATATCTGATATCCCTGTGTTCTTTCCTCCATCCCCTATAATCTCTCACCTCCCATTCACAGCATCACATTTTTGCTTTTTGTACATTTCATCTGCTTCAGGAAGCCATAACTATTTACCCCCTATCCTCCCATTGCAAAATGCCATTATATTCCATCTGATGACTTTTGCTGACACATATGTTGATTGTTTTGATAACCCTGGCTTCCCAAGTTAAAATGTAATGCTCTTGAGGGTGGAAACTGTGTCTAACCTTTAATACATACCCCTAAGCCTTGTGTCCAGTGGCAGTGGCAGACTGTCTTCATACACAAGTGGTACTTGTGTGATCTTTATCTCCAAATGTTATAATTTTAAGTTATATAAGAACTTAAAGAAGCTACACAAGTACAACTGGCTGTTCCCATCTTAAAAAGCCTAAAGTCCTGAATCACACTGCGGCCATAAGATATCAGCATCCAAATAACCTAATTTGGCCGTAAAGAGCTCAAAGCTACAATACAGTCACTTACATGTTCCTACCTGATCACTAAAAGCTAGAGAAAAAATTAAACTGGTAAAACTAATGTGACATGAGCAAGGAGCCTGATCAGCCTTTTACTTGTGGGGGCCCATTCAGACTACTTTCCATGTCCACAAAATTGCCTATGGTTAGATAGTCTCAAAGCACTCCTTACTTCTTGCTTACTTCCTCTGGTTTAACTCTGCCACTAAGCTTGCTTGAAAATAATGCATCCCTCCTATACTCTGCCATAGTGTTTTGTTTGTATCTCCCTTTTGGTATTTTTCATTCTGAGCATCATATTATAATCATGGGTCCTCTCTTCTTTCCCACCCTTCTCTCCCCAACATGCTTCTTCCCTCAACAACACCAATTCACAGCACAATGCTTCCCCAGAGGTGTGAGGAAATAGGGAAAGATGGAGCGCAGGCCCCCCCATCTGCTTAAAAGAATGAGTCCTGAAGCACACTAGCTCTCTGTCCAAGCAGCAATTATGAACCTGGCAGCCCTCACATTTTATCAGGCCCAGGGCTGACTCATCCAGAATATCACAGACATTAGCAATGAGACCACAATGCCTGAACCTTCAGGCCCATTTCAAGCCAGGTTTTTAAGAAAAGAAAAATGAGGATAGTTTAAAAGATCACATAAATTAGCTGATGCATAGGCAGAAGAAATTTACAGTTTAAATAGGTCCTCTATGAAATCGAGGTTCCATCACATTGGTACCAAAAATGTAGATCAACAGACTAAAACCCAAATTTAATTTAATTTGTTTTAAGAGGAAAGACAATTACTAAATGTTAACATTGTCTACACTCCCTGTTTATACTTTTCATTTGCTCTTCAAACCACTTCATCCCCACCACTCCATCACCAAGGCCACAAGTTATCCCCTCATTATATAGGTAATATTGTGAAGTGCTTAAAGTAGTTTTCCTTAAACTATGGCCTACAACACTCTACATAACAATGACCTGAGGTGTTGTGAAAAATGCAGATTTCTTAAGTCCCAAGCCCAGAAAAAAGAAACTTATCAATCCAGGAAAAGTATCTTTTAAATATCTCTAAAGATGAAAACAGAATAACAAAAACTGAGAAAATTTGTTACAAATAAACATGGTTCTCAAGAAATGCTAAGGTAAGTTCTTCAGGCTGAAAGGAAATGACATCAGATGATAAATAGGGTCTCCAGGAAGGATAAACTCACTAGAAATGGTAAATATGTGGTAAATATAAGAGACTCTGTTTTTTCTTTCCTTTTCTTAACTCATTTAAAAGCAAAAGACTATTTTTTGAAAAGTGTATGACTAGTTAGTGCAAAAAGAAAGGAATGTATTGTAGATTTTCTAAAATACATAGATCAAGCTCCGTGTTGGGCTTTGCGCTGAGCATGGTGTCTGCTTGAGATTCTCTCTCTGCCTCTCCTTCTGCCTTTCCCCCAGCTCTCTCTCTCTCAAATAAATAAATAAATCTTAAAAAAAATGTACATTCTAGGACCCCAACTCCACCCATTGAACCAGAAATTCTGGAGTGGGACCCAGGGATCTGTGTGTTAACAAGCCCTCCAAATGATTCAAGTGTACATGAAGTTTGAGAATCATTCTTCTAGAGCTACCTTTAAAAAATAATTCAAAAAGACACAGCAGCAAAGAATGATTAATAGAATAGAGTAAGTAGAATAGAATAAATAGAATAATGAAAATGGAATACTAAAAAATAATTTACTCTAAAGGAAGCAAAAGATGAGGAATAAGGAGGAGAAACAGAGAGCAAGAAAGAGAAATAGGAGACAAATAGCAAAATGGTAGTATTAATCCAACCATATTAATCGTTTTTAAAATGCAAGTGAATTAGAAGCTTTGATTAAAGGCAAAGATTAGCAGACTGAGGGAGGGGAGAAGCAGTATCCAACTATATTTTGTTTACCAGAAACTTACCTTAAATACAAAGGCACAAATAGGTTGAAAGTAAATGGACAGAAAAAGATATACTATGCAAACATTATATATATAAAAGTTAGAGTGGCTATATTGATATGTAACAAAACAGACTTCAAGGTAAGGAGTCCTTTATAAATTAAGTTGTAGGAATATCATAATGATGGAAGATCAAACAGCACAAATACTTAATAATTATATGTGTGTGTGCACCTACCAATAGTTTGAAAATGCATGAACAAAAAAAATCTAACAATTGTTAGATCTAAACAATTAAATATTATTCAGCAATAAAAGAAACGAGTTATCAGATCATGAAGAGACATAGAAAAACTTTAAATGTATATTACTAAGTAAAAGAAGTCAATCAGGGGTACCTGGGTGGCTCAGTTGGTTAAGTGTCTGACTTTGGCTCAGGTCATCATCTCAGGGTCCTGGGATCAAGCCCTACATCAGGCTCTCTGCTTGGTGGAGGGTCTTCTCCCTCTCCTTCTTCCTGCCACTCTGCCTACTTGTGCTCTCTCTCTCTGTCAAATAAAGAAATAAAATCTTTTTTTTTTAAAAAAGAAGCCAATCTGATAAGGCTATATAGAGTATGATCCCAACCATAAGACATTCTATAAAAAGCCAAAACTATGGAGACAATAAAAAGATCAGGAGTTGCCCTGGAGGAAGAGATGAGTAAGCAGAATGTAGAGAGTTTTTAGGGCAGTGAAAATATTTTGTATGATATTATAGTGGATTTATGTCATTATACATTTGTCAAAATCCATAGAATGTACAACATCAAGAGTGAACCCCAAGGTGAATTATGGATTTGGAGTGATTACAATGTGTCAATGTAGGCTCATCTTTGACAAAAAATGTAGCATTCTGGTGAGTGATGCTAATGATGGTAAGGCTTTGCCTGTGTGGAGGCGAGGGTATATGGGAAGTCTCTATATTATTCTTTCAATTTTGTTGTCAATGTAAAATTGCCCTAAAAAAAAGACCTTACAGAGTTTTCTGTTCTAACCAAAACCAAATTAAATTAAGAATCATTTAACAATAAGATATGTAGAAAAGCTCCATGTATGTGTAAATTAAACAATAAACACAACCAATTAACTCATGTGTCAAAGAAGACATTACCAGATAAATTAGAAAAAGAATTTTTAACCTAAGACCAAACTCTATGGAATGCAACTAAAACAGTGCTTAGAGAGGAATTTGTGGTTTAAATATGTATATGAGAAAGGGAGATTGTTTACAAATCCAGCACATGCACCATGGCACCTTCTACCACCACCTGCCTTTGGAATAGGAAATAACCACTAGAGTTCGCTGCTTCAAAATAGCTCCTTCAACATACCTGAAAATGTTACCAGATTTAAATAATTAGAAAAAACATCGTAAGCTTTTATGTCCTCACTTCTTAAAAGAAATGTGTCACAAGGACAAGATCTAGTGCAATGGAACACAGGTTATGTGTCCCTGGAAAAACCAAAGAAGCAAAGGTGGAGAACTGAATATCAAAGATGGAAATAGTGAGAGAATAGGGAACATGAATGATAAACTTCACATGCTTCATGGTTTTGCCTATATGCAAATGTAAAAATAGTCACATACCTACAGGTAGGTGGGATGATAAGCTCAAAACTCAAACAGAATGTCCAAGTAGAAGGCAAATTGATAGTATATTGATAGTAAATCCTACAATACTAGTAAACAAAAAGACAGTGTATAACTTGATTCCAATACTACTATCTAATCCTAAATGATTAATCTGATAAACTGTATGTGTAACCTGGAAAGATCTGGGGACTAAAATAAAACCTGAATAAACAGGAAAGGATCTTAGACTGCTCTTAAGAAGACTGCACAATGATGTAATGGTAGATTTGGTAACAGAACAGAGCCATGGGAGGTCATTGAATGCGAGAATCCACATACAACACTTTGTAAACCACAGTTTGTATACAAGCCATGGGGTCAGTGCCCTTCTCTTCTGTTATCCTACCCTCTGCTGAGACAGCTTCTAGGAGATGGTATAACAGATTCTGATTTGGAGGGATGTGGGTAAAAGTAACGAAACACCTACATAACCCTGCTGCAGCCACCTGGCAACTCTTAGAAGTCCCCTCAAAGGCCTGGTGCACAGAACTAAAGCCATTGCTAACACCTGTCCCACAGTCCTCTGGACTATAAGTCAAGGCCTCTGCTAGTGTTACTCATTTTATTGAAATGAAGGTCACTGATTGGCTAGGAGCCACAGTCAAGGAGATGAGTGGCTCATTCTACTCAGAAGAAAATAGGTGAACGCATACAAGAAAGGAAGTAGAAGTGGATAAGGGAGATCAGGAGTCCCAAATAGGACATTAGATGAAATAGATCACCGCCAAATGCACTGATCCACTTTCCCAGCCACTCCTGATGAAGAACCCCACCACTACCCTACTGAGAAGGGGCAATGCCAGAATCACAGTTGTGCCTGTACATTAGTTATAATTTACCGTGTTTGTTTATGCTGCAGGTAGCTGTCTGATAACCACACAGTTCCATTCTTCTCATTGATCCTCATACAGACTTGAGTTATAATCAGGCAGTGCTAATGAGATATACCTGATGAGGGTAAATCCAACCAGAGTCTGCAATTTGTTCTTGAGTACTAAACTTGAGTGAGGACAGGCAAGCAGCATCTTTTACAGGATGCGTCAGGGCCAGGGGCTGTGTTTCTGGGTGTGATCCTCTGACACAGGCATGCCATAATCAAATGCTCTCACTGCTGACTTTGCAGAACTCCCTGTGTGCTCTTTCAAGACAAGTGCACAGGCTGACAGCAGCAAGTGCAGTTCAAGAATGATGGACAGCTGGGTGCATAAAAACACAACAGATAGTCCTGCCATAGCACTATACTTCTGTGTCATCAAGCACTGTTGCTTACATCAATCTGAACAAAACAGGTTTTACTGTTTAGGGATATGGGCAATATGCCCTAACTCTAACTTAAACAATAATTGGTCAGTAAAAATCATAGCAATATCCTGAACTTTCCTTTGAAATGTTTCAAATGCCTTTATGTGTCCTTGTGATATTGCTGACATATGAAGAAAAGGCAAATGCTAAAATTCAGTTCTGGATGGGGATGTGGGCAAAAGATTAACAAACTCCCTTCTGTACAAGAATTTGACCTGTTGTTAGCTTTTGGGCTCTGTTGTCCTGGAAACAGACAAAGATGGAATATGTGGGATGCCTGGGTGGGTCAGTCAGTAAAGGATCTACCCCTTAATCTCAGCTCTGGGCTTGACCTTGGTAGTGAGTTCAAGCCCCATGTTGGGCTCCATGCTGGGTGTAGAGTCTATTTTAACCAAAAGAAAGATGAAATATGTAGTTATCACTAAGCAGCATTACTGATGGTAGAAATAACCTGATTGATAACTACATCAAGATCAGGAACATGTGAACCACCTAACAGGAAGTCACATCCTTGGGCTTCCCTCAGTGCAATGATCTTGCCAGTGTGTGCCTTTGTGGAAAATCTGAAATCTATATGAATTATTCCTATGAGGAATGAAGCTCCAGAGTCAGGGCACCCCCACACCTGCCAATGAGGTTCGTCTCTTTGCACCTGAGCCATCACCTTGGGCAGAGAAACTAGCTCCTTATAATCCCTGGCAGATCTCCAGACACCCACCAAGAGGAAGGTCTGACACTGCCCAGCCAGCAACTGCTGTCTCTGCACTATACACTTCTGAGCAGGCTAATGCATTGTGGGTCTGGGAGTTTATTTGGCTCCATAAAGACACGCTGGTTGTGTTTTATGGAGGCATTAAACTATCCAGTTTATACCAAACAGGAATTCACATAGACACCAGTGGTGGTTTCCAAGATGTCTACCCATTTTAAAAGCAACTGTCCAGTGAACACAGATCGAAAACATCTAAGCAACGAAGCTCTCAAGTGGCTCAAATAGGTGTTTAGGTGTGAACAGACAAAAAGATTCAATTCAAATATTCCATAAGGTCATGCTGAAGATTCAATGTGTTCCAAGAGCTTCAAAGAATACTACAAGGCAGAGAAGTCAGACTATTTGAGGTCCAACATTCAATCCAAGGGGAGAAGCCAGATGTGAAACATATCCCAGAATGTCATCTCCCACACCTAAAAATTGCAGAACTGAGTTATTCTGACCCACTCCCTACATTTCATTTCTGCCGATGTTTCATTTTAGTCACATGAGGTGGTGGAAAGGGCCTGCATGAGAAATCAGAAGACTTGCCTGGGCAAGTGCCTTATGTTATGTGTCTGGCAGAGCCATGTCCAATAAATACTTACTAAATGAAGAAATGAATGAACCTTTCTGAACCCTCAGCTCCTTTCTCCGTAGAATGAAAATATCTACCTCATCTACTTTGGAAAATTGTTTTCAAATGAGATAATGTATGTGAAAGCTCTTCATAAACTGTAGAGCACTGAACAATTAATAGTATAAAGACATTCTGAACTGCCTCCTTTCATTACTGAGTAATATGAGAAAGGTGGATCTTGAGACAGATCTTGAGACTAACAACCCACATAGTTCTCTGGTGGGAAGGAGCTAAAGCTACTGTCATCACAAGCACAGTGGAGATCTGGTCTTAAAAGAAATAAATTATTTGTCTTATTGTCATTTTCGCCTATTGAGTACCTGAAATTTGGGTAGGCTTTTGTTTCAATTCCATCTTCCAAATTATGTTTGTGATACCTCTGCAAGGCTTAACCTTGTTTACTCAGCACAAGTTTAAAAAATATTTCAGTGCCACTCCTCACACCACACTAAATTACATGGACTTAGGTGTTACCTATTACAGGATATTAATTTTTATTACATGTAAAAATTTTATAGCAAATATCACATCCATAAAGTTATAATTTTGCAGAGCTGATTTCTTAATAAAGAAATCTTCTCTCAGATCATTAATTGGGCTAAGGAAATGAAAGCCCATTCAATTTAACAAAAATTCACTGAAAACTGGCTGTGTATATGGCACTTTCCTGAGTGTTGGGTGCTGGTGCTAGATAGTGGGTGCTGGTGCTACGGCTGTACTAGGTGCGGGGTGCTAGATACTGGTACTGGTGGTGGGTACTGAAAAAGGCAACAATGACATTTCTATCCTCAAGAATCTATTATCCTAAAAACATACAAATAATCTCTCAATATGACATAGGGCAGAATGATCTTGATAAAAAAGTAATTGTATGAAAAAAAGAAATTGTATGAATAACACAGAGAACAGTCAGGGAAAATCACTATTACTAATCAGAATCAAGAAAAGCTACCTCTTAAAAAAGAAAAGAAAAGCTACCTCTTAACTGAGCCCTGAAGAATAAGAATGAATTTTCGAGATGAAGAAAACAAAACCCAAATCAAAGGAACAGCACCCACAAAAATTTGGGGATATAAAGCTGCACCTCGTGCTAATGGAACAGTGTGTGATAATAACACAAACT